TTCCCCAAACTGCTCTCTCATTGTCATCTCGGAACACGTCTGTATCATCAAGGGAGAAAAAGATGGGACTGATGGGAAAACCTGGCCATTCAGTGAATTCAAGCAGTCAGACAATTTTTATTTTTTGAATAACATCACTGAATGCAGACCAGACTAACTGAAGTACCACCAGTTCACAGCACTGACCCTGCAGGCTCATATGGTAGGCACTAAGCATCACTTCATTCACCCAGCTTCTTACCCTGACACTGGGGAACAGGGTGAATCAGAATACAAACCCTTTCAGTTGTTCCAGTATCCTCATTATGCTCTCTAGCAAACTAAAGCTTCTATCCCTAGCTAGCCTACCTGACTTTCCTTAAGGCTACATGCTTAGTCCCAATCCCTTGAATTGTCTTGTGCATGTGGAAGGTGCTCTTATCTTGACTAGCAAACACAGCTTTCCAGTTGCAATCTCTGATCACAACCATTCAAGATTCTTTGCCTGCACTCCACCCATCCCCGCCAACATTTCTTCCTCAAAGATAAAGTTTCACTATTCTTCTAGATATTAATATTGTTTTGGGCCATTATCCATCTAAAACTGGAGCAATGCCTTTTACACAACCCAAGGATTTGTCTAAAACACGACCCTGATTCTTTAAGAAATGAGAAGCTGCGTATGGCATCACTGATGAATAAATAACTTACTACCAGCTGAAATGCATCAATGACTACAATAATTATCCAGTGGAAGGCTCTTACCCATTCGAGAGCAAGATAAATGTCAATGTATACTTCAATATGCAGTAAAGTAAATACAGAAGCAGTTCCAACAAGCATCTTCAAAAACAAGGAATTGTTTTATTTATTTTTTTACACTGCAAACCCGATCAGACTTACCTCCTCAAAGTGATAGCTGGAGTCAATGCGGGGCTTGATCTTTCCCTGCTTGTAGAGCTCAAGCAGCGTAGACATAGTCCTGCCGAAGAGCTGCTCATCAGTGATGTATCCCAGGTGGAAGCCGCTGACAGCTTTGTTGGACTGCATCAGTTTCATGGTGTTCAGAGAGAGCTGGTTATACCAGGTCTTTGCCATGGCCAGCAGGTTCTTCCTCTGGCCTGTCACACAATTGGCTGCACCTGCAATGTCAAACAGTGATTAAGGGAACATTGAAAAAA